TGGCTGGAGCTGGCAGAAGTTCACCTGAAATCAAAAGCCCCACGTGTCCCTGTGTGTGTGAACAGCTCTCAGCCCTTCAGGTGAGTTATGGCTTTGTTTTCTCCACCTCTGGTGATCAGAACCTCCCTCAGGTTGGTCTCTGGTCTGTTGCTGGTGTTCACCTGCAGTTCCTCCTGCTCTGGGATGTTCTGCTTTGAAGGACAGCACTGAAACCTGACTGGTAGAAGACACCAGAGGCTTGGCCAGGTGCTGATCCACATTCCTCAGATAAATCCCACCTGCTCCTCCCTCAGTAAAACCTGCCCACTCTGGCCACCCGGCCCATCCTTCCTGGAAAATAATCCTCCAGGCTTTGTTTTCCCAAAAAATGTCTCACCCAGCAGTAAATTCACTGTGTCAGAGCTGCAGGTGGGAAAGCCACCAAAGATGTCCCAGATTAGAGCCCAGAGGATTATTTCCCAGAGGTTGCCAATCCCAGCTGTGCAAACTTCCAGCTGTGCCATCATCCCAAGCACAAAGAGGTCACTAAGCAGTTTTAGGCTTGATGGGGATTTAAAAAAAGCTTTTCCAACCCCACCAGAGCAGTGGTAATGCACAAAGGAAATGGTTCTGAAACGTGGGCAGGATGGTGATGGATTAAATTAAAGCACCTGGGAAAGAGGAGTGTTGCTGTTTGTGAGACAGAAGTTGCTGGAATGGAGCTTTATTTGGAAGAAAAGAGAAAAACAGGTATCAATCTCCAGGGCAGCCTTGCTGCTGGCTTCCTGCCACAGCTGCTGTGTGCACAGGGCTGAGCTTTTCCCCCAGCCGGGGGGAACAGGAATCCAGGCTGTTCCAGGAGCCCCTGGGCAGCTCTGCTCACAGCCAGCACTGTCTGAGGTAGGAGAAATGGCTGGAAGGATTTTGTCATCTTCATCTCCCCGGGAATGTGATGTAACATCAAACCTGAGCTGTGCAGCAGCGATACTTTAATATAAATAAATCCTGTACGTTTTTGGAGCTGTTGCAGGTATTTCGAATTAAACTAACAAAAGGGAAACAGGGTAGATACAGCAGCTGTTTGAGGCTTTTCTGAGAATTTTTCCAAATTACCAAATCTTTGTTCTTCAGTTTCCCAAGTTCAAGGGCAGAGTCTATCCTTAACCTCTAGAAAGGTGAAAATATTTTAAAAGTGTAGTGATCTTTTAAAAAAGAAAAGAGCAATATTATGCTTACAGATGTAGTAAAGCCTTTAAACCTCCATCTACCAGTTTGTGCACGAGTGTGCAGGTGAGTAATAAAGAGGTTATTGATCTGGGAAGGATCAATATGGATGAGCTGAGGGCAGGATCCTCTGGTGATTTCCAGGGTCGAGCAAGGGACAGAACTGTGGTGCCTGGCACACTTTAAAAAGCCTCGGCAGGAACGTGAGCAGTCCACAAACGGGGATTCATTCCTCCCTCTGCTTCTTCCCCCGTCCAGGAGCTGAATCCTTCCCTTGTGCCCACTCCTGCCTGCCGGAGGGAGCGAGTTCATCCTGTCCGCTTCCGTGGG